CATGCCCACGCTGGCGGCCGTGCCAAAGCACAAACCCACACCGCCATGACGACACCCCCGCTTCCCGGAGGCCCCGCCTGCAGCACGCCCCGCACGCAGCGCAGACCCCTCCCATACCGAAGCTCCGCCCCGACTCAGCCCCCGCCCCAGCAGACACACCGCACCCGGCCACGCCCACCTCCCGCAAACCACGCCCCCTTTGAGTGACCACGCCCATCTGTTGCCCCGCCCACCCCGCCTCTTCCGGCCCGGGCGGCGGCGCGCCGCGGCGTGTGACGTCAGGCGGCCCCGGAAGGGCGCGGGCCGGGAGCAGCCGCCGCCGCCGCCGCCGGGCCCCGTCCGGCCCCGTCCCGTCCCGCCGCAGCCCCGCCCCCACCCCCGTACCACGCGCCCCGCCGCCATGACGCTCGCCGTTTTTTTCGGGTGTACGTTCATCGCCTTCGGGCCCGCGTTCAGCCTCTTCCTCTTCACCATCGCCCGCGACCCCCTCCGCATCATCATCCTCATCGCGGGGTCAGTGCGGGGCTGGGGAACGTCGGGGCACGGTACGGTGCTATGGCACTGGTACCGGTACGGGAGTGGTACCGGGGGGGGACGTGGGGCACTGCAGTGGGGCTGGTACCAGTACGGTGACATCGGGGCATCTCTGTAGGACCTGCACCAGTGGGGGGACATGGGACGCTGGTGTGGTACCGGTTCTGGTGCTGGGACTCCAGTATGGGACCGGTACCATTGTGGGGAGCTCAGGCACCGGTATGGCGCTGGTACCAGTGGGGAATGTAGGGTGCTGGTATCGGGGGGGGACAGTGGGGCACCAGTATGGCACCAGTAGCAGTGCAGAGATGTCATGGCTCCAGTACTGCAGCGTTACCAGTGTGGGAGCGGTGGGGCACTAATCTGGTGCCAGGACACCAGTATGGCACTGGTACCAGTACATGCAGGGGGCTGGTACAGTACTGGTGCTGGTTTTGGTGCCTGAGCACCATTCTGGGTGCTGGTGGGCACCTTGTGGGCATGACAGCCCCACCAGTACCACTACTCATACTGGTACCATTGTCTGCACAACTGCTGCACTGGTGCCACTGTAGGTGTGGCACAGCAGGGACGGGGTCTGTAGGAGCATGGGAGCCAGTGGCACTGCGGGACTGGTGCTGGCCCTCCTGCAGCAGGGACTGAGCTTTACCATGGCTCCGTGCTGGTGCCCACACAGCTCAGCTGCTGCTGTTTCCCACCTCCCCAGGGCATTCTTCTGGTTAGTCTCACTGCTGCTCTCCTCCCTCATCTGGTTCATTGCTGTGAAGGCTAGCGACCCGCGTGATGAGCCACTGCAGAAGGGGCTCCTGATCTTCGGGGTGATGTTCTCTGTGTTGCTGCAGGAGGCATTCCGCTTCCTCTACTACAAGCTCCTCAGGTAAGGGCAGCTCCTGCCTGGCTCTGGGCTGAGGGCACATAGTGTCAGTGAGCCTGGTGCCAGGAGAAGTCACTCCTTGTCCCTGTGCCACATCATCCTGCTGCTCAGGGTCCCAGTTGGGGGGTTTTATGAGGCAAAAGGTCTTATGGCCAAGATCACTGCGCAGAGATGGGTTAAGGTGGAGGATGTCTGTGTGGTGGAGAAGAGCAGCGCCAGGTCTGAGGGCTGGAGGCTGAGTGTGTGGTAGTGTCTTCCTGATCTCTGTGTGGGTTGGCTGTGATTTTAAGCTCCTGTAGCGTCCTCTCTGCCCGCCCGCCCTTGTGACTGGAGTGGGTGGTGCTCCTGCAGCTCAGACAAATGCCTGCTGGATGCCAGAGACAAGAAGGTTCCCACTTTGCTGCATGGAGGAGGCAGAAGGGTGATAGACCAGCCCCTGCTGCAAGCCTCATGCCTTTCCCAGGAATAGCTCTGCATCAGCAGAAGGAGCCTGGAGGAGATTCTAGGGCTCTGCAGCACTGCAGTCTGCCCAATCTGGAGCAGTGTTGTGAGTGCAGGATTGCCTCCCCCCAGCCCAGGCTGCTGTGGGTGGCACACTGCTGCCTGCACAGGGCAAAGTCTGGCCCCAGCCCCGCGGTGTCTGCAGCAGCAGGGAGGAGGAGAAGAAGGAGGAGGAAGAGGAGGAGGGCTGATGCCGCTCCCCGTGGCAGCACTGCGGCAGGCAGGCAGAGGGTAGCAGAGATCCATGCTTCGCCCTGCAGAGCCACAGCAGTGCCAGCATCACTGCCCTCCTGGCTGCACAGTAAGATTCAGGATGCTTAGTTTTCTGAGTTTTTTGCCCAAAATTGAATTTTTTCTACCTTTCAGCATTTTTCTCTGCACTTTCTTGCATTTTTTCACCCTCTCATAGAAAATACAACTGCTGAGATCTCAGCTTTTTGATGCCTGCACTGTGTTCACAACCAGGGGTGCTGCTGCCTGCAGCATCCCACCAACGCGTGGGACGTTGGTGCGTGCTTGTCTTGCTCTCTGGAAAAAGATTCAAGGAGGTCCTGTGGTGCTTGTTGCAGTGGTGGCCAGCTTGGCAGCCAGACGCTGCCCTCGGTCAGCACTCCAGGAGCTGTCAGCAGAGTCCTAAATGGTTCTCAGTGATGTGCAGAGTGCCTGTTGATTCATTAATCAACCTCAGGGTCATTTAGGACAAGGCCAGGTGCCTGCCAACAGCACAGCCGTACCCTTTTTGCACAGTCATGAGAGGCATGGGCTGGTGCAGGACAGTCCCCAGACCCCTGCCCTATCCATCCAGGGTGCCATGTGGTGCCCCATCACACTGTCCCCTGCAGGAAGGCCATCGAGGGGCTGGTGGCCCTCAGCGAGGACGGCTGCTCCCCCATCTCCATCCAGCAAATGGCATATGGTGAGTGTTGCATGGGGAAGAAGAGGTTGGGTCTCCTGGGGTCTTGGAGGTGCTTGGGGTAGGGGGGGATTGTGTCCTTGGGGTGTCACAGCCTCTCTTTGTCCTGGCAGTGGCTGGCGTGGGCTTTGGGCTCATGAGTGGTGCTTTCTCCATGATCAACCTCCTGGCGGACGCTCTGGGACCTGGCACCGTGGGCATCCATGGGGACTCGCAGCTCTATTTCTTGACCTCAGGTGAGGGACAGGATTGTGCCCTGAGCCCTCATCACAGGGGTGGCAGACCCATAGCTGTATCGTAGCCACTTGCAGCCCCCATCTGTGGTGTCATAGTCCCCTGTGATCCTGTCCAGCCCTGACCTTGCAGCACTACTGAATCTCCATTACCTCCTCACTGTTCTCCCGGCAGCCTTCATGACCATGGTGCTGATCTTCCTGCACACCTTCTGGGGCATCCTCTTCTTCCACGGCTGTGAGAACCGGCACTGGTGGGAGATCGTGGCCGTCGTTGTCATGCACCTGGCCGTTTCAGGGTCGGTGAGTAGCCGGGAGCAGAGCTCAGTGCTGCCACCAGGGGTGGCTGTGGGGTATGCTGGTGCCCGTGCCTGTGGAGGAGCAGCTACGTGCACTAGCAAATCACGTAGAGACCAGAACTCCCTATGAGGAGTTCCCCTTGGGCTGTGTCTGTCGCTAACCAAACCCTGGAGCTGGTTTCCTACCCCTGGGGCCATGAGTGATGCTGCCCTGTCCCCATCCTGTCCCAGCCACTCCCCAGAGCACTGGGGCGAACCAAGAGGGGGACACTGCAGCTGTGTGTAACAATTAGGCCATGAGAGATCCTGCTCACCCTTTCCCTTTCTCCTCTCTCTGCAGACATTTTGCAACCCGCTGTATGTAGGCAGCCTGGTGCCCTCCTATGTGCTGATGGCCATTGCTGCTGTCTGGGCATATATGCTGTCGGGGGGCTCTGTCCAGAACCTGCGCCGCTTCCTGCTCTGTAAGTCACCCAAACGGAGTTTTCTTTGGTTATTGTGTCCTGAGGTGGGGCAGGGTGTCTTGGAGACTGAAGCAAGGCAATGGCCTTTGCTACAAGGAAGAGACTCCAGGGTTTGGGTTGTTGCTTTTCTGAGGAAGTTAATTTAGTGAAAACCGACCCCTTGCTTCCTGCAGGTGCACAGAGTGGAGCGAGCCCCCAGCCAGCATCCTGAGGCCCTGCAGATGTTCCCATCCCCAGCTGCCCCTGCCCTCCCGTCAGCAGCAAGGTTGGCCGTCGCCTTTTCTGCAATACATTTTCTCCTGGAATGGGGGACCCTGGCCAGCCCCAGCAGGGACAGACGCTGCCATCCGGCTGCAGCAGTGGTGCTGTGACTGGCTTGCTCCTCTGCCCCTCTGGGGACAGCTCAGTCTGGGGGACTCAGCTCTATTGGCCCTGAGCTATCACCTGGGAAGGGTACTTCCTTGGACTGCTGGAGACACAAGCCCAGGAAGCTCCCTCACTTTTCCCCCTGGTGCAGAAGATGCCCTGTGGTCCCCTGTGCCTACAGGGGACACAATGTCTCCTCCTCTCCTGGGAAGTGGCTTTGTGAGGTGCTGTTGGGGCCAGGACTGAATGCTGTGGTGCTACTTTCTCCATCTCAACTTGCTGCACTGGGAGATGCAGCCCCAGCACTGAACTGTAGTGAGCATCCCAGGGTGGGCATATGGGGGTTGGCACGGTAAGGTTAGGGGATGATATGGAGGAACAGGGGCAGAACGCATCCACCATTGTTGGTGGATGTGCAGCCAAGGGCTTGGGGTGAGCGGTGGGCTGCAGCTGGTGCTGGCACCGCCTGGGAAGGGGGGCTTGGGGCTGTTCTGGGGATCACTGCCCTCTCCCTGAGTCGAAAGGGGATTTTAAGGCAGGTACCTCCCTGTTAACCTGCTACAGGACAGGGAAGACTGCCAATGGGCTCAGGGCTGAGAGGCGGTTTTGTCCACAGTGGGCTTTTGTACCAATAAAACAAGCACCAGAGGTGAGCAGAAGTTGTGTGCTGGCCATGCAAGCATCCTTCCTCCTGCTCCTGTATAGAGCTCTGACTGATGCACTGGGGTGGAGGCTGCTCACAGGCTCCCTCCTGCTCCATGCCCAGCCCGTTGCTCTTGGCTCCAACTGCAGAGGGGAGCAGGGCGGGGGTTGGCCAGGAGCGGTGGGTCTGCCACCATCACCTCTGCATTTCTTCACAGCACTGCAATGTTTTTCTAACACTTTGCACAAATAAGAGGAGGAAGAAGTCCCAGAGCGATGTAGGGCAGGGCGGGACTGTGCAAGGAGCCCTGCACTGCTTGCTCTGGAGCTCTGCCGTATGCATGGATGGAGGCTGATGCTTCCTCTGCAAGAGGTGGCTGGCAGAGCAAAAGGCTTTTATCGTAGTTTTTTTTTTTTTTTTAATGATTTTATCCTTTTTGTAACAAAAATATCCCCTTAGACTAGGTGCTGTCCCAGGTGAACAGTCCATGCAGCTGCAGGAGGTCCTCCCCCAGCTCAGTGGGAGTGGCTCAGGCGGTGTTCTCGGCTGTGGCCGCTGTGTAGATGACCTTGGATTTAGAGGGTGAGTCCAGCCTGGAGCAGGAGGGAAGAATAGAGGTTAGAGCAGGAGGGGGCCCTGCTAACAGCTGTCTTGTAGTGGGTGCTGCTATCCCTGTGGAGGACTGCTGCCCACCACTGGTGTTCCCATCACTTACCGTGCATTCTGGCTGCGGTTCTTGTAGACGTAGAGCAGGAAAGCCAGCATCGTGATGGCAAAGAGCACCCCAAAAAGCACAGCCAGCACATCCCCTGTGAGCCCAAGAATGATACAAGGTTGACTGGGGGGGAAATGGTGCCAGGCTGGTGGCAGCTGACACAGAGCCAGCAGCCAGCATGCTTACCTGCATGAAATGAGCTGGTGTGTCCTGCTGAGAAACAAGAACTAGTGTTAGAGCATGCTGCAGGGACACCAAGGTGGGTCTAGAGTATCCCCCCTGGCTTTCTGCCCCTCAGCACAGCACAAGGCTGCCAGAAACCCCATCCCCACCTGGCACCCCAGTCCCTTTCCCATCCCCAGCATCTCCCCTACCTGCTGTCGCTGAGGTGCCACCACCTGAAAGAGACACATCACAGTCAGGGGGTGCCCAGAGGGGAGGGGAACACCACTATGGGTTCTGCCAGAAGTGAAAGGTTGGTCCCAGAACCAGGCTGCTCACATTGCTCCCTGCGTAGGGATGGCCAGTGCATGTCCGTGCCCTAAATGCTGGGCTGGGGCTGTGCCAGGCAAATATTTACCCAGCAGTGGTGCTGCTTGTGCACAGCTGCATTATCGCCTCTGTGCCTCTCTGTGTGGTGCCGGCTGGCACTATCGGTGGCAGTGTCCCATGGTTCAGAGAAGCCACCACCACAACAGCACTCCCACCGCTGCTTGGGGACAAGGGCTTTTTATGAGCTCAGGGCTTTGATAGAAATAGCAAATAGGAGAGAAAAAGCAGTGTTTGCACCTCTACCCCCACCTCTATAATGCCAGGGAGCAGTTTCTGCAGAAAATGGCAAAAGGCTTGGAGGTAAATGGTGAACACGATAAAGCAGCCAACAGGTTTACCAAAGATAGAGCATGCCAGCCTAACCCGATATCCTTCTTTGATAAGTGAGATTCTAGACAAAGAAAATGCGGTAGATTTTATCTCCCAGGCTTCAGTGAAGCATTCCTGTGGTGCTGCCCAGGCACTGCGGTGCTGGGAGCCCACGGCCAGGGGAAGTCCCAGCAATGCCCCAGGCACTGGTGCTGTTACTCAGTGTGACACAGGGCATCGGAAACGCCACCCAAAGGGAGAGGGAACAGGATGTTGGACAGCAAAAAAATAAAACCCTGAGTGAGTTCAGAGAACTGAGAAAGGGCACAAATTTAGTGATGCAGTGATAGTCACACCTGAGGGTGAACAGGAATTTCGAGTCATAGCTGGAAAACACCAGTGCTAGGAAGTGCTCTGAGGACAAACTGAGGACAGGAGCAGGGCCAACCCATGCACAAACCCTTCTCCTAGAGAAGCAAAGCGCTGAGGCCTCACTCCTCCCCCCAGGATGCTCACACACTCCTTACCTGCAGGCACCTGCCTCTCCCGGGAGGAGCTGGGCTCAAAGCTTGCCAGCACCCATCTCCTGTGCAGGCTCTGGTCCTGCCGAAAGTTGTTCATGAGGAGGCGATTGTCGTCTGTCTGCAGGCTGCTCACCAGTTTGGACATCTGGGAGGAAAGCAGTGTGAGCGGGATGGGATGCGGGATGCCCTGAGGAGCCAAGATCCAGCATGCACGTGGCCAACAGACCTGTTCCTTGGAGAGCATCACGGTCTGGTTGAAGACAGTCCACTTGACAGACTCATGGCAGGGTGGGGTGGTCAGGGAGCCGTTGTAGTGGAAGTAGAGGTGCAGGTTGTCAGGCAGCAAGCCAGCGATGTTGAACCCAGGCACAAAGACTTCATCATCTGGGAGGAGAAATGGAGCAGCAGTCAACTGCTGCTGTGCAAACTTCCCCTGTGCACAGAGCCAACAGCTGCTACAGCCTTCCTCTGCCGTGCCAGTAGGGTATTACCTTCTCCTTGGATGCTATGCAGATGCTCGAGTATCTGCTGGTAGTATGGGTTCTCCCTTGGCCCAACCTGGAACACAGCAGTGATGGAAGGAATGGCTGATTGCAAAGAGCCCCATGTCCTGCTGTCCCCTTCTCCATCCCCCAGATCATGTTATTCTTCCTTCCCCTCTTTGCTCAAGGACTGCTCACCTCCAGGAAGACCCCCAGCACTGCCAGCCCGTCTGGTTGGGTCACGGCTGCCTTGAAGTTCTCATATTTGGTGTTGTAATGGACCACGTGGAGCTGAAAGGAAACACAGCCCTAATGTGGGATGGGCACCACTGGATGGTGAAGGATAGCTCACTTCCTCCTGCTAGGAGCACACTGCTGCTGGTGAAGTAGGATAAAGGTGCCATAGCAGTGAGCACCAAGAGCTGCCCTGAACATGGGCAGACAACCCACCCTGGAGGACAGCAGCTGTACCAGAAGGGATGAAATCAGCCCGAGTTGGCTGTGTGCAGCTCATGGTCCTGTGCCACCAGCCCAGCAGCAGGACAGAATGCTCCTCACCTCCCCGGCAAAGCGCTTGTGGTCAACGGTGTGCTCGGAGCCAGGTTCCGAAGGCGAGCCCCAGTGCAGGTGCAGCTGCACGGCACGGTACTGCTGCGCGTAGCCGCCCGCGATGGCCAACGACTCAGGCAGCTTCAGGACCACTGCAGGGGGAGGGAGAGGGCGGTTGGTAAAGCAGAGTCTGCAGAACGGCTGAAGGGAAGGAGTCACCTTGAGCTGGGGGAGGTTGGTGACAACAAACAAAGTGGCTTTGGATCTTAAAGGAGGTTGAGGGTAGGGCAATGAGTAGAGCCGTGCTATGAAGCAGGGTTCAGCCTGCAGGACACCCAGTGAATAAACTTATTCACTGTGTGGGAATAACACAAAAGAGGTTGTGGATAGGGGATAAGGGGATTGGCAGAGCCATGTATACCTGCAGGAGCACAGAGCTGCATCACTGCTGCAACAAGCAGAGCAGCCTGCAGGCCTGGCCAGCACTAGGGCTGGCATCACATGAAATCTGCAGAGTTAGAGCAGTGCCTGTTTGGACACTGGGCACATGTATTTGGTTTTGCCTTTACCTTTAGGTGTGGTTTGAGGCAAAGCTGAGCCTGGATACCTGGCAAGCAGAACAGTGGTGTGGATAACCTAAGGGCGGAGCTATGGGGGGGACAAGCACCAACATCACGAGTATCCCTGGACCCTGGGAGAAGCTGTGGATGGTTGGACTGGATGATCTTGTAGGTCTTTTCCTACTTTGGTGATTCTGTCCCATCCCTATAGGTGAAGTGTTTCAATCACATTACCAGGGTACAGGTTTGTGATGAGTCATCTGTCCTCCCCTGTGCCACTGGGCACAGAGATACAGAACTCAAATACACTCCTCCCTCCCTGTGCATTTATACCCTCCTGTATTTCTATTGTATATCTAAATTGCTGCTTTCCTAGCATTCACCTGAGTCATTTTCAACATATACACTGTAAGAAGGAGTAACTGTAGAGCTGTCCTAGCTGACTTGCAACTTTTCTCTTTGTTCTGTCTTTCCTGAGTGATCACAGAGGTCAGCACATGAAAAACTACCTCAGCCCTGGCCCCTCTGGGTGAAAATGCTACAAGTGTTTCTGCAAACACCAAACAGCACCAGATGCCAGGGTGCCTAAAATAGCAACCACTGACTTCAGATCGTTGAGCTATGCAGGCAGCTAGGGCAGGAGGCTATAAAATAGAATGCTGGGCATGCCCTGTGCAGCAAGTCTGACTTGTTGGATTTGCTGTATGCAGGGATCAGCTCCCAGGGACAAGGGCATGGGGCTGTCTTGCTGCACCCTCAGAGAGCTCTTCAGCTGCCATCACTACCAGCAGCTCCCAGTCTGAGCAGCACACACAGGGCTGGAGGTGCTCTTGGAAGGAGCTGGCGGCAGCCAGATCCACTGCTGCAGGGAGGAAGTGATGAGGTTTCTGGAAAGCTGGGACAGAATCTGTTCACGTTATTTTATTATCAGTTTCACCATGCTAGATAGAAAGAAAAAAGCCCTTCTAAAACTGCAGAAGCTTCTTAAGATCCTCAAATAACATTTCAAAGCATAGACTTCAAGAAGTGTGTCCTACAAGAGAAGTGGGTACCTTAGAGGCTAATTCACACAAGGCCATGATTTCTCCTTGATTTGAGAAAAGTGAAATGTAGGAAAGGAACCAATGGCTGCAAACCTGCATTAGGAACAAATTTCTAAAGGAAACATGAATTACAATAAATTCCTAAAGCCAACACCCAATGGCAGTGAATAGCAAGCTCCCCACCCACCTGTGTGCCCATTGTTCTTCAGTGCGAGCATCTGGCTGGCAGGCAGGCTGTAGCCGGAGAGCTGGATGGGTCGCAGCTGGGGGCTGAAGATGGTCGTCTCTGTGTTGATGTTGATGGGAGACTGCATGTTGCCTGCGCATGCTGGGAAGTGCTTGGCCCACTGCCCTGGATCTGGCATGGGGAAAGGGTAGTGGTGAGAGCGGGCAGGGACAGGACCCTGGGGGTTTGGTGGGTGCAGGAGAAGGGATGGGCCATGCATCATGCACAAAGAGTTGGTTTCTACCAAGTCAGCTCATGAGCAGCTCTGTGGGCATGGTAGTGGTGGGCTAGTGGTTGGACTTGATGATCTTTGAGGTCTTTTCCAACCTTTAATGATTCTTATGACTCTATGCTGCTGCATGACCGCTTGTGGCTGCATTACAAAAGGGCTCTTGAGCGTGGTGAGCTGCCAGGAAAGTTTATTTTAGGGGTGTTTGGAAAGAGTGTGAGAATATCATTTCCAAGTGGACTTGGCAGGCAGAGGAGCTCTGCAGCTCATCACATTCACTGCTGGCAGCCCCCTGTGAACACGGTGCCACTATCTGCAGCTTCTGCCCTGGGCCACTGCAAGCCAGCGCTGTCCCCTTGCACACCCTGCTCTAGGAGACGGTGCAAGGACACAAGTGATCCTTGGGCAAAGTCCCAGCACAGCCTGTCAGTGAGAATGGCATGGGACAGGCCTGTGCCTGCCTGGGGAGGCACAACCGCAGGGACCCCCAAACTGAGGCACAGGGCATCCCACTGCTGCCTCACAAATGGGGGTGCTCAGGCTCGGTCACTGCTGAACCAGCAGGGTGAAGGGAGGGAAGGGTGAGACACTGAGTGTGCACAGCTGCCTGGTAATCATTAACCATGACTGGCTGGAGCCCAGGCTCTGATGGGTGGTGGGGAAAGCAGGAGCAAGTGCAGGATATTTACCTTCATAGCTCCAGTGGCTGTCACTAGGACCTTGAGGGAAAAAAAAAAAAAAAAAAAAAAGAGCATGAATGGAAGGGAAAGGTTGGCTGCAAACACACCTCTGCCATGCAGGACTCCTGGTCCTGCAGCAGCAGTGTACTCTCTGCCTCAGTGCTCTCCCAGCATTTGCCTGCTCATCCTCCTCCTCCTTCACCAGAACTAGAGATGCTCCCAAAGGGAACTGCCTCCTCCATGCAGAGAGAAAACTCCAGGGCTTGATACTTGGTTATTATCATTATAGTGGAAAATAATTCACAGATATCACTCCCATCACTGAGTAGCACCAGTCATGCTCTTCCAGCTGCTCCCACTGTGCTCCCATCAGCTCCTGTAAGCACCATCCAGTTCCATATGTCTATCCCTCATTAGGGTGAATGCCTGCCAGGGTGGCCGGGAGGCAGGAGGGCCACCATATTGGTCCCCATAGCCCCCACTGACAACAGCCATTGACAGCCACTTGCTATTAATAGGAGCAGATTCCATCTCATGGTGAGAAAGGAAAAGACACGCTTTCCCAGGCCCGGGCAATCGGCACACAGCCCCAAGCCCAGCAGGATCCTGCCCTCCTCCCAGCCCCAGGCAGCGGGTGGCCACAGCTGAAGGATGCCTGGGGACAGGGATGGGGACGGCTCTCAGGGCGTCTCCAGCACCGCAGGTGGCATCTCAGAAAAGTCCAGAGAAGCTGTGGTGCCCCATCCCCAGAGGCACTCCAGGCCAGGCTGGATGGGGCCCTGGGCAGTCTGAGTTTGTGGAGGGCGACTGGCCCATGGCAGCGGTTGGGGCTAGGTGGGTTTTACGGTTCCTTCTAACCCAAGCTGTTGTTGAGGCTTAGGAGTGATGCGAGGGAGTCACTCTTCGAGGTGTGGAACATATTCTTAAAGGTGTATGTGAAGGGAACAGCAAGGCATCAACGAGAAAGATGAATAGGGGCACTTGCACCAGAGCTGAGACACATGGGAGATATTCCAGCAGCTTTCTCAGGCATGGTTCCTCAGCTGCAGCACAGGGCTTGTGCTCTGGCACAGGTAACGTGGCACCCCAGGGCTGGCACACAATACCTGGGCACACTGCACATGTCTCAGCTGCCACAGTCTGCCCAGCACCCTGCTCTCTGCTTCCCTCTGGGGCTCAGCCTATGAAGAAAGCACAGACCTCCCATGCACACATTCCCAAGCACTGAGGCAACATCTCCCACCCCATGGAGCTGGGTCCCTTGGTGCATGCCCTGGTGCTGCAGGGAGGCATCCCCTGGCATTGCAATCCAGCTCTCAGCCCTGCAATACTCTGGTCCCTTCCACACGGGGGCATTCACAATCCCACAGTCCTTCGGCAAGCACGTTAACCCCCTGCCCTGCCCAGCCCAAATTCAGTCCCAGCCTCCATCCCAGCTCCCTGCTGCAGCACGTCTTCTCCCTCTGATTGCTGCTGAACTGCTGCCATGCACCACAACGGAGGTGATGGTGCCGCAGCTGCAGCTCCCTGCATGCCCTGCCCTGCCTCTGGGCGCGCTCAGCCCTGGCAGGGGCTGCAATGTACTCCCAAAAATGTGCATGTAAGGAAAAAAGTGCTGCAACAGGGCTTCAATGTACATTCTGGGAGGTGTGAGCAAGGAGAGTCTCAGCAGGAAAATACTGTGGGGTACAGAGGGGCAGCAGCAGGAGCCAGCTGCCACTGCAGACAGCACAAAGGCGCCCTGCTTGGCCACGTGGAGTCCCTCTGTTCCCAACCTGCTCCAAGCCCACCCCTTCCCTGAGCAGGGGGTGTTTCACACCCAAGAGCAGCCACACTTCCCCCTTTCAATGCTTTCTCCCCCCTGTATTCACTCCCTCTCCTTCTTTCCATCTTGGGATCCCAGTGCTGCCACCAGCTTGCTTTTTCCTGACGTCCAACACCATCCAACAACATCTCCCTGCTGAGTCGGGGCGGGCGCTGCCATTAGCAGTGCACTGTTCTGCATGTCCTGTGGCCTGTGAGCAGCGCAGCTGCTGCTAGCAGTGGGGAAAAGCAGCAAGTTGCAGGCTGCTCCCATAAACATCCCCATGGCTGCAGAGACTACCTAACACTGTTTGTACAGAGCAAGAGCCAATACCAGAGAAAAGAGTGGGCTCGGTGTAGCCCTCCATCCTCATGTGGAGGGTCAGTCCACAGAACAGAGCAATGTGGGATGTACCAGGAGGGATCAGGACACACAGATACACCATGTCTCAAAGCAGTGAACAGCACAACTGCAAGTCCACAGTGTACCACACATCCAGGCACCTTGTCCTCTGCAAGTAATAACCTGACCAAGGTACAGAGGCTGTGCCAAGGCGCTCATGCTTGCCCGCAGCCAGCTCCCGAGGCAAGGACTGGTACAGGGTCCAGAGAATGGCCAGCATTCCCTGCCAAACCGTACAAAGAACTTCTGCGCCCCATGGACAGGAAGGCAGCAGATCTCAGCCTGATCCCACAAACACAGCCCCTTTTTGCCCACCCAGACCCACAGCCATTCAGCCCCAGCCCCCGTTGTGTGCACTGCCCATGGGGCACTGATCCTGGCTGCACTAAAGTCCTTTTGTGTTTATTAACTTCGGCCAACAGCGAGCCATGGGGATCAGCCTTTAATCTGCACCGGAGCTCAGGTCGCCGCAGGGATTGTTCTTTGTGCTGCTGGGAAACAGAGGGGCCCCACGAGGCAGGCAGCATCCCATGGAGCAGTGAGAGTTTGTGAGGGGAGGCTCAGGGCAGGAATGGCCCCTGGTCTGTTCCTGCTGCCTGTGAACCCAAATAGTCTTGAAGAGTGACAGGGGAAAGGGAAAACATTTACAGGGCATTAGCAAGGGATGGGATAAAAATGGGGAAATCCTGGGGAAAGACTGAGGCTTGAAGCGGAGGAATGAGTTGAATGAGGAGGGTTACAAAAGAGGAGGGAGCTCAGATGGAGGAAGAGAGCATCAGGGATCACAAAACAGGACAGGTCTGAATAGGAGGGAGAGAACAGATAGGCTGCTCTACTACAGAGACACCAGAGGTTCCTCAGGCTCCCATGCTAGGAAATCTCATGGAAAGCCTTACGGAAGGCTGCAGAGTGCAGTGGATGCTGCCAGCCTGGCCTCGTGCAGGAGCCGAAAGTGGGGGAAAGACAGGAATATGTATGGGACCTGGCCCCAGCACAAGGACTGTCACTGAGGGCTGGCTACCGCTCCTCACCCACATCCTCTTCCCATCCACATCCCACCCAGTCCCACACCACACTCACAGCCACAGGGAGACGGTGTCACCCGGCCCCCTCTCACCCTGTGGTGGAGTTTCTCCATCTCTGTGGCAAGGAGCAGTGCATCCCCAAAACCCCACGCACAGCTAAACAAGGACTTGGTAAGAAATGTGAATCACTGCAATAACAGCATCAGCTCGCAGCACCCCGTATTTGACACAGGGAAAAGTGAAGACACACTGTGAGCCCGGAAAGGCAAACCTACGGGCAAAGCAACGCTGGGACGGGGACATCCTTGTGCTGTGCTCAGCCGCAGGCGAGCAAAGCACCGCACTATTCCCAAACCTTGCTGAACGCTGGAATGAGAAAAGGGACCGATACCACAGGGGCTGAGCACTACCCCCCAAAAGTGACCTCAAAACTTGAAAGCCCCTTGCGTGGGGTGAGGGGAGGCACGCAACAGCACACAGCCCCGCGCTTCCCACGCTCCCCCCATCCCACCGCCCGCCATGGTGCAGCCCCACACCTGCCCCGCTGCACGGACCCTGCGGGCGGCCGAGAGCCCCGAGCCGCGGTGCGGTGCGAGCCGTCCGCTGGGAGCGGGACGCGGGGCTGCGCGCGGGGCGAGAACGCGGACCCCGCGGGGGTCGAAGAGTTGGCGGGAGCGGGGACAAAGGCAGCGGCGTGCGGGGCTGCGCGGGGCGGGGGGAGGCGGGGCTCCGTAACGGGGGGCACTGCAGCCCCAAATCCCAGCGTGAGAGCACCCCCAGAATCGTGCACGGGAGCACAGAGGTGCTCCGTGCATCGGGATAACCCGAAGCCGGCACTGGGGTGCCCCGTGCACGGCGCTGCTCAGTGCCTCGGCGACCCCAAAGCCCCCATCGCGGGAGGGGGGTTGTCCCGTCCGTCGGGGTGTCCCGCGCCCTGCGCACCCCACAGCCGGCGCCCCGCAGCCCGGTCGCTTCCCCTCACCTCTCTCCTGGGAGTGCGGAGCGTTCTCGTCGTTGTGGTCGTGCTCCTGCCCGGCGGCGGCTCGGCCCAGCCCGGCCAGCAGCAGGACGCAGATCCGCAGCGCGGTGCGGTTCATCTCTAGCAAGTGCGGCGTGCGGGACGGCCCGCGGCTGCCTGCTGGTCGGGACTGCCGCACATACATGGGAACAGGAGGGGGGAGGAGGCAGCCCTGACTCAACGACGCCGTTACCTTTTATAGAGGCTGGAGGCAAAGTCTGCCGCCGCCCGGCCCGGACAGGTGAGCCGCGCCGCCGCCGCCCCCCGCACCGGGACTCGAACCCGTGACCCTACCGGGACGGAGGAGGGGGCTGCCCCCGCCCCCCCTGCCCCGCGGGCACCTGAGTGGGGCGCGCGGCCCGCCCCTGCGAAGGGGGGGCGGGAGACCCCGTACGCCCCTCTGGCGCCTCTGCTGAGGGCGAGGGGCCCCTCGGGGAGGGCTGAGGGGTGTGCGTAGCTATGGGGAGAGGGACAGTTCAGCTATAGGATTCCCTCAGTGCTGGACAGAGGGACCCTCTCAGTGAGGGGCTGAGACATCGTCAGCTATGAGATTCCCTCAGTGATGGGGTGGAGGGCTTCCTCAGCTTTCTCCTCAACAATAGGGTGATGGATGTCTCAATGAAGAAGTGAGGGATATCATCGGTGTTGGGGTGTGGGACACCCCCAGCAATAACATAAGAGACTTCCCCAGCAATGGTGTCCTCTCACTGCGCGGGGCTGAAAGAGCCCCACCTCCAGTGATGGACATCTCCAGTGATGGAGTGACTGACATCTCCAGTGAGTGACATCTCCAATGACTGACATCTCCAATAACTGACGTCTCCAGTGACTGACATCTCCAATGAGGAACATCCTCAGCTCTGGCTTGAGACCCCTTGGTAATGGGGTGAGACCCATTTTCCCAGTGCGTCCTCCTTCAGCAGGGGTTTGAGGGACCCTGTCAGCACTGGGTGTCTCCCCATGTGCTGTCGGGGTGTGCTCAAGTGGATGTGCCAGGACTCATGCTTTCAGCAATAGTCTGAAAAAGTGTGCAGGCAGTGAGGAGATGGAATTAGCTACGATGTTAATTTGGGTCGGGAAAAGGCTGAAGTGGTCCTGAAGAGTTCAAGGGGCTGTGATATGTGGTGCTTGGGCGGATCTACAGCATGTTGCAGTCTGTGTTGTAGATACAAAGGAACACAGAAGTAGAGGGTGCAAGAGGGTGGTTTTAAATCAGATATTGCAGCTCGCAGAAGAGATCCAAGTCACGGAGATGACAGTTGACTGCTTGCCAAGAAAGTAAAGTAAACATTAGGGATTATCAAGAAGGAAACAAAGAACAAAACAACAGAAGAAAAAAAAACACACACAAAAAACAACACATTCTGCTGTTGTATAAACCTCTGGTAAATCCTCCTTCAGTCATTGTTTTGTTTCTCCCATCACAAAGGGTAGAGAAGCAGCAAGTGCAGTACCAGGCTGGGCGCAGAAATGGCTTTTGCACAAGGAAAGAGCAGATGAAGTCTATGGTCTTGGCATCGCAGGTCATACAGAACCAGGGAGCAAGGAAGCATTTACTCCTTGAGTAGTGGATTTACAGTGCAGTCAACCCATGTCGTCTCGCAAGAAGTTTGAGAACAACCAGCAAAGTATCTTTTCATACACTGCAAAAGGGAATGGGGGAATTCCTTCAGCCGAATATATAATTTGTGCCTGTACAAGAAGACACCAGACAAGTTGCTGGGCTCCTTATTACCAGCATCCCAGCTCTGCCATATCTGCATAGCCTCACACTTCTTCTAAACCAGTTTTCCCAGCTGTTTCCTAGCCCACACCTTCCTATATGAACATGCTCAATGTAGCCCTAACCAGTGCATCCAGACCTATTGCTGTTGTCACCGTGATGGGGCTTGAGACCTGTCACAGAGGGAGGGAGGTCTTGTGCAGCCTGGATTTTGTGCTGAGCGTGAGAAAGATGTCCACAAAAGCTGACAGCCAGGACACCAGTTGCTGCACTGATTCTCTGCAGTCTGGCACCGTGCGTTCCTGCTCTGCCCTGTAGCAGAAGCCTTACCTTGTGCACCTGGGGTCTCTAGGAATGACCTGAAGGTGGGATCAGTGCACTCCCAACCTGCAGGTTTTATCCTGATTCACCTTGTTCCTCCCAACACCAGATAAGCCAAGCCATCAGATAGGAAGACATTTATTTGTCATGGCTCAAGGAAACAAGAATGTGGGGGGGGGAAAACAAACCATAAAATGCAACTCAGACACCCTTTCCTTCTCACATTCCTGTAGATTATCCTACAGGATAAAAAGGAAGAAGAGTCCTGGTCCTTTTAATCAAAACAAAAGAAGAGGAAGAAGTCTGGTTATCTAAGAACAGGCTCAATCTATTCCTTTTCTAGCCAAGCCCCATGCAGTTCTCAGCTTACACCTGGGCATACTCCTGTTCACTTGTCAGATAGGTCGCCTTGCATTCGCTGTTTCTACTCTGTGCAGCTGGAGTCACTGTGAGGCCATCAGCCTTGCTGCCCTGCCTTAGGTTTCACTGTTCTCCCTCTTCATTACTCTTCAAGGCTGCGTGTATCCTATCACAGAAGCTGTAATTGCACACATCTCCATCTCCTTGTCAGCTTTTTGTAGAGACAAAGATAACTGGCAGTCGCAGACACTGGAGGACAAAAGGTGAATTTGTGGACAGGCCACATTGGATGTGTCATTGGGGAGTGCGGTGGGTTGTGGATCATGGCCTCATCCCACAAGCCTGGCAGGCAAGGTGGAAGAACACAGTGGAGTCCTCCTTTACAAGGTTTATAACAACATGTGCCCTTTGTTGAGATGGGGCCTCTTGAAATGCACAACACCAAACTTCTGCTCATCTTGGCATGCATTTAGTTCAAGGCACAAAACTCCAACTCTCCAGGGTGCTTCTCTCATCCTCAGCAGCACAAGACAGGCTGTCCTCAAGTGGATATGCCTTAGGAAATGCTGTCTGGTCTTGGTTTAGTCATAGTCCTCTGGGGAGGGATAGTCTCCAAATGCCTGTAAAAGGATTTATTCTAAGGAAAAAGATATAATTCCTAAGAAAATTAGCTCAGCTAAGAAAAGACTTGTGTGCCTAGGATGAACTCTGTGACTCTATTCCTTATTAAAATTGTAGGAGTGATCCTTTCTCATAGGACATACAAGTGAATTTCTGAGATCTTGTGCAGGCAAACTTCTAACATAACAGCAGTGGCCATCACTTCATCACATCAGTGCTGTTGTGCCCCTTCATGACTTATGGGATTGACTTATGGGATGACTTCTGCAAGAAACCTAACTGTCTGGGTGAATCACATACGTGCGGTATTTATTCCATTACTGACATTTGAGAAAATGAACTCTCCAAAAATTGGAATATCATAGTGATAATGACACAGTGACGCTCTTATTGTGTTTGTTGGTAAAATGTTGCTAAAACAAAGCTACCTGAAGAGATGCTCCACGGACCTACATTACCACGCAAGCTCTCTACTGCTGCAGTGCACGGCTTATCTCCAGCAAGTAACCCATATACAGTGCTTGGGGGTAGGATGGTGAGGAACACTTTGAGGTGAGTGTGATAATTAGTTTGTTGACATCCCCTAATTTTCTAGGATAATATTTCCTAATTTCAGAGCAACACCAGCACATCCTTGTTATGGGGCTCTGGACCCAATCTGGCCAGTCCTTGGAGTGGTTTGCTCCTCTGTCGTTGGGTGGTAGGAAGCAGGTACCAGAGGAATTGGTTCCCCTGGCAGTTCCTGAACCAGAACTATACCTGCGGTGCAGCAGCTGCTTTGGAACTATGAATTCCAACAGCTCTAGTGGAGATTGTTTAAAAATATGTACTTATGTGTTTCTACAAACAGTTAAGATATTATATGTCTATTGCTAACTGTTGGACAAGCCTAAAAAAAACTGGAGTAAGAAGAAACTGAAATTGGTTTTAATTTTAAGGGATTCACTCCCAAATTCGAGCTTCAAAATAGCAAAATTTCTGGGAACTATTAAGTCTGGCTTTGGGCAAGGTCGACATATGACTTGGCCCCTGTGTCAGAGTGTTTCATGCAGGCAAGCATCCCAGAACCTGCTGTCAAACAGCAGCCATAGTGTGGAAGCAGCAGGACAAAAATGTGGAGACTCACAGCTTGCAAGCACTTCTAAGAGCACTGAGCTGCAGCATGATCTCTCTTAAGCAGTGAATAAAAGTCAATCTCTTTAATTACAGCAAGCAGAACAATATTTTACCTACAGTTTTGTACCAATCAGGTCTGACATAGCTTGCCTGTGCACCAAGTCCAGTCCTACTTGTGGAAAAGCAGCTCTGTGACTTCCCTCATGACTTGACTGAGCTGTATCTGGAGAGCAGGAGTCTGCCTCCTCCTCTGCTCTTCTCTGAGTTTATTATGAAGCCTCAATGTGTTTCTTTGATTTTTCCATCAAAATATATTTATTTGTTTCTAAGTAGGGCTGCCCTTTTGATAGTATTTATTCTCTCGTTTATTTATAGACAGCAATTCAATCCCTCCACAAACCATGTTTTGAAAGGTTAAACAGAAGTCCACACCAGCTTAGCTTATCAGAAAATAAATGTCTCTGCTTCTCCTGATCACATTAACCCTCTGCACCTCACAATCAACCTTTCCTGAACATACACACCCTAAATTATACATTTACTTTATAAGGATAATACTTGTCCAGGTACATGTGAAATCGCTCATAGTAAATACACGATTAAGTGCTTTGCCTGCTTGTTATTCTTGTATACCATGAGTTTTCATTAGCAGCTCATCAGCACTCACAAATATGAGGTTTTGTGCTCCTTCATCTTTCACAACCCTTCTGCGATGGCCTGATTTTCAGCTGCAGTGGCAGCATTTCCTAGCTTCATTCTTCCCCTCTGTAAACATGATATTTTTCATGAAGGTAGGTCCAAAAGCCAACCTTTGAGGAATTTCAATCACATCTATTTTACTGAACTTTATTTTGAGTCGGGTGATCTGTTCTTAAATTTGCTTTTTTGGGGGTCCTCTGCTTCTATTCCTGCATCTAGCAACATGGAGGGAAATATCGTTCATTTTTGGAGTCACAGCTAAAGTTTATTTTTTAATTTTTACATGTTAGCTATCTCCTCTCTGTTGTTCCATCAGACTACATCAGACTCCTAAAACTACTAAAGACCCTTCTGTAGAGTATTAGAGTTTATTCTTTAGGGTCTTGACTGGGAGCAGTTCTCAAGTTTTCCATGCTCATACTCACCACCAAGCCACAACCTCCTTTTTCAGCTTTTACT